GGAACGGATTAGGTGAGTTTGTACCTTCATCGAGACATCACAGGATTGGAACTTCAAGGAACCTTCTGGAGTCTTCCTGGATCTTCTAGAACAGATGGTGTTTCTTCTATTCAGTCCTCCCAGCACTGAGCAAGCCCACCATTAGCCCATGCCAAGCTATCATCAGCCTCCCTGGCAAGGATCTCTTCTTCAAGCTCTCTTAATCAATTTAAGGCCATTTCCTCTATTCTCTATGAAAATGGTTTGCAACTGATCAGTGTTTTCATCTAGAACCTCCTGATTAAAGCCAATTTTTAAACCCTAATTTCTTTTAGGCTAAATAATCCAAATGGCTATCATCTTTTTAATTCTATTATTAGCTGTGCTTCGCTAAGCCCTCTTGCGTCTCCCCTAAGACCAGTAAGAGGACAACAAAGCCCCTGGGGATGATTTCACAAACCAGGTCTGCTGTCTTCCGCACCATTGGAGCTCTCTCTACTCAAAAACCTGGCCTCACTCACACGTTTGCTATGATGACCCATTAGGCTGTCTCCCCTGTTGTTTTGCAGGTTCCCTCCTCCCTCCCTCTTTCCTTTTCTCTTTCCTCCTTTCCCTCTTCCCTTCCTCCCTTACTCTCTCCCTCACTCTCTCATTCTTTCCTTCCCTGCACACCAGTGCAGCTAAAGCAGGGCTTGTGATGCCAAGGGAGTTTGCTTAGTGTCTATCCCAGTCCCTGGCAATGATCCTTAGGCTAGGTGGTTTTCTTCCCAACTGGTGCCTACCTAATGATATTTCTGTTTTAAGATTATGCTAACATCCAATCGCTGATTTTCTAGTGTATTTTATGAACTCCCACTGATACTACTAATCGGACCCATCTGATTTTTTTTTACTGTTTCACAAAGCTAGTTCTCTTTTTGATGCACGTTCTGTTTTATTTTCATATTAAGTTTATTATCTAAAATGCCATCATGCATTGTTTAAATTTCATTTTACTCCCATCGATAGGTCATAAATATTTTCTCACACTCTTCCACGTGGATTTTTACAGGAGGCATAGTAAATCCATTCACAATTTAAGTCAGTGATCTCCTATTATAGAACTTTTGGTGGTTTTCAACTTCTTGGTTTTAATAAAGAACAATCTGGTGAACATCCCGGTACCGTATGCAGAGCTCTGCACGTCACCATGACTCAAGGTGAAGGCCCGGAAGTAGAACTTGAGTCACAGGACACGCATGCGTTTTTTTATGACTTTTGCTACTTATAGCCAACTCGGCCTTGGTAATTCATGTTTTACATCTGCAGGTGTTTTGCTGTCCTTTTCCTTACTGGTCTTTATCCAGTTTTTGACCCATCCATTCTCCACCTAGGATGTCTTGAAAGGCTGTTGGAACTGGCTCTCTTGGAAGGAGAGGTTTCACCGCCCAGGGCAGCTCTAATTCGAGATATACCGCTTCAGCTTGACGGATTCCGCTTCATTCATCCCATCCAACCTGCTGCAATGTGTCAGGCACCATTCCAGGCAGAATAAGTGCAGTGGGGGAACAATCTGGCCAGGGAAGCAAGGGGCAAAGCAGGGGTGCGGGCCTGGTAGATAATAAATTGCTCTGTGTGTGTCTGGCCAACACGAAGATTAGAGGAAGTGTTCAGGAAGACGGCACTGCCAGAACCCAAGGGGTGAGAGCCTGAGGTGGGGAGGGGCTTGGGTGGGAGAGAAGATGGGGGGTGGTGAGAGGACCAGATAGAGTTAGGTTGTCCGGGCCATTAGGACCTTGGCCTTCACTCTGAGTGAAACAGAAGCCTTTACAGGGTTTACACAGACAACTGATGTGCTCAAGCTGCTGGGTTGAAGTCAGACCAGAGGGTGCCAGGACCAAATCAGGGAGCCCCGTGAGGAGAGACGGGTGGGTTGAACAGTGTCCCCCAAAATCACATCCCCTGCAGAACCTCAGAATGTGACCTTAACTGGAAATAGAGTCTTTGCAGATTGAAGCAGCTAGGGATGTGGAGGTGAAATCATCCTGGACGTATGGTGGGCTCAAGATCAAAATCTGTAAGGCCAAGAAGAGGAGAGAAGACAGAGAGACACAGGTAGAAGCCATGTGAAGACAGATGCAGTGACCGGAACAATGTGGCCACAAGCAAAGGAAATGTCAGAAGCCACTTGAAGCTGGAAGAACAAGGAAGGATCCCACTCAAGAGCCTTGGGAAGGAATGCAGGCCTGTGGACACCTTGATTTCATACTTCTGGCCTCCAAAACTGGGAGAGAGTAAATTCGTTGTTTGAAATGTCCTCATCCATCGTACTTTGTTAGGATAGCCCCAGGAAACTCACCCAGGAAGTTCTTGTTGTGCTCTAGGAGATATTGTGGTTTGGGCCCCAGTGGTAAACAGTACAGGAGATGAGAATCTGGTAGATTTCAGGTACGTTCAGAAGCTCAGAAAATGGGACCTGCTGAGGGGACAGGACTGGGATGTGAAGGGAAGCGAAGAGTCCAGGGTGATTCTAGGATCTGGGGCTTGAGGCAGTGGAAGGTGAGAGACTCAGAAGATTAGGCCTGGGGGTGGAGAGCGAAGCAGGAGCTCAGTGTTGATGCGTGAAGCCTGAGGTGCCTGTCAGCTTCCAAAGATGGGGTGTAGGCCACTGGAAATACCGGCGTGGTGCCCAGGACAGAAATCCATGTGGCAGACACAAGCTGGGGGTATACATATATATGCAAAACCAGAACAGGGGATGTGACAGGAGACACAGAGAAGGTGGGTCCTGGAGCACCCCTACACTAAGAGTCTGGGAAATGAGAAGGAACCATCCCAGAAGCCCACAGAGGACACTTGTGGGACGAGCAGAGCCATGATGCCCTAAAAACTGAATGAAATGCCATTTCTAGCAATTGCGGCTGGGCCAGTAGGAGAGTGAAGTGAGCGCCAAGTGGGCACTGCGCTTGGAGAACTTGACCTATGAGCAAGCCCAAGGAGGTGTGTGGGGAATGCACCTCAGTACAAAGGGTTCTTTCGTTTCTTTTACCATTATGTTCATGAAAGAGACTCAGAGGAGACGAAATGATGACCACAGATAACTCCTGAGAAGTTTTTCTCTGTAAGAAATCATAGCCTGTTTTTTGGCTGATGGGAATGCCCAGAAGACAGGGGAAGTTTGGTGAGGCAGGAGGAAGGGGGTAGATTTGCTGGAGTGATGCCCCCAGCAGGTGTGAGGGGACAGGTGCCCAGGCCCAGGGGAGACCTGACCCCTCCAGCATCATGGGTAGTGCATCCAGGAGGGAAGGTGGGATGCAGTTACATGAAGGAGAATAGGAGGTGCAGTCTGAGCATTTGTGGAACTTTTTTCTGTTTACCTTCATTTTTTTGGTAAAAAAGGGAGCAAGATCATGTATTAGCTCAGAGTGAAATGGGGGCAAAGATGTACTAGAAGACTGAGGAGAAAGGAAGGAAGGAAGGAAATATCTACCTGGGAAAGATGGGAGTCAAAAGACCGGAGAAGTCTTGCTTTGCCCACAAGCACCAAAGGCCCACGTGTGGTCTCTTGAAGAGACCAGTCAATAGAAACGTGTTCTTCTGGTGAAACACAGGCCAGAACAATGAAAATGGTTCCCTACTTCACACGGTTCACAAAAATTAACTTGAAATGCAACAAAGACTTAAACATAAGACCTGATATGATAAAACTCCTTGAAAAAAATATAGGGAATTAACATCGATCTTGGTCATGGCAATCAATTTTGGGGGCATGATACCAAAAGCACAAACAACAAAAGGAAAAAGGTCAACAAATGGAACATCACACTCAAAAACACGGGAAAAGAAACAATTAAAAAAGACAACCTATGGAAGGGGACAAAATTTTTGCAAACCCATATACCAGATAAGGGGTTCATATCCAGTATCTATAAAGAGCTCAGTCAACTCAACAAAACAAATGATTTGATTTAAAAATGGGCAAAAGAACTAAATAGATTTTTCTCCAACAAGGACATGAAAATGGCCAACAGGTACATGAAAAGATGCTCAACTTCGCTCATCAGCAGGGAACCGCCAATCAAAACCACAATGGGATATCATCTCACACCTGTTAGAGCGGTTATCATCAAGAAGACAAGAGACAACAGGAGGCAGCAAGGAAATGGCGAAAAAAAAATCTTTATACACTGTTCATGGGAATTGGTCCAACCACGAAGGAAATCAACATGGAGGTTGCTCAAAAAAATAAAAATAGATCTACCATACAATCCTGCAATTCCAAGGGTGATCCCAATTGCACAGTCAAAAAAATGGAACAGACTGAGCAAAATGAAGATTGGGTTGCCAAGGGTGAGGAATGACCCAGAAATCCCAGCCTTCTTGTGGTGACTCTCACAAATGAGAATGAAGGGCCTCACTGTATTAGTCCCGAAGTTCTCGAGGGAGATAGTAGAGCCTGACTCTGTGTGTGACAGGTGTGCATGTGTAGGGAACGTCAAGTGGGGGAAAGCAAAAATGAGAGGGGGTATCTCCAGAAGCACATAGAATCTGGGCCCCCCTCTTCACTCCTGCCAGTGGCAGGGTGAGACCAGAGTGGTGGTCTTAGACCTTCACGAACCACGCTTGTATAGAAAGCATTGCCTTCCTGTTTTCTCAGGTTAGAAAAAAATGACAATCCAGGAAGGAAATTAGCAAAGTATATATAGAGACAATTAATGGGAAAAAAGCCCAAATGACCATCTCCATAAAAATAAGCTCACGTCTGGGGGCCCTGGGTGGCTCAGTAGGTTGGGCATCTGCCTTCAGCTCAGGTTAGGATCCCAGGGTCCTGGGGTCGAGTCCTGTATCGGGTTTCCTGCTCAGCGGGGCATCTGCTTCTCTCTCCCCCTCTACCCCTCCTCCCAACTCATGTTCTGTCTCTCTCTCACACAAATAAAATCTTTCTAAAAAAGATAAGCTCACACCTATTAATAATAGAGAAAATACAAGTTTAAGAAAGAAGTAACTCTTGACACTCATTAGACTGGCAAAGTTTGTTATTTTAATTTTTTAACATAATACCACGTACCGGGAGGTGTTTGAAACAGGAAATCTCAAATCTTGCCGTTGGGTATGTAAGTAGGTATGACGACTTTGAGAGAAATCGGACAGTAACCAATAAAAGTGAAAATGAAAATACCCAATGAGCCAGCAACTCAATGTTTAGTGAAATACCCATATGCCCCAGGAGTAATCTGCCAGGAAGGGCCCTGTAGGGTTGCTTGCAACACTCCCCAGCAAACCTGGGTTTGCCTGTTAGGAGGCCAGTGGCCAGAGTGATGGAGTCACATGCGGCATCTTATGGGACAAGGGGATCCACGAACTAGATCCAGATCTCAAAACGATAGTGTTTAATGGAAATAAAAATGGTGCTGAAGAGCTGGAGCTTCCATACCATGAATCCATGTAGTTCGCTGAAGTCCACGAAGCAGTATTATAAATTATAACTCCATATATATGGAGGGGGACGTACACATAAATGAGACAAATGATGCACACTGACTTCAGAATGATGGTCACCTCTTGGAAGAAGAGATACTTGAAAGGATTTCAACCATATCTAACATTTTATTTCTTTAAGAGATCTGAAATAGAGCAAAAATACAGTATCAGTTCAAACTAAGTGGTAAGTTCCTCACATCTGTTCTAGTGTCTTCTGTACTTTTATGTATGTTGAAATATTTTTTTTTAAAGGAGAACGTTTCTATGCACGTTTTAAGAAAGCAAGCAAAGTATGAAGAGTGCTGTCAGATGAGCACAATCACTGTTAGGGCATCACATTTGCCCAGAATAGAGACTGAACCTAAAACCATTTCATTATGATTAGGAGGGATGAGGGATTAATTTCCTTAATATTTGGCTGAACCACATTAAATATCGTATGCCATATTATTATATTTAGATCTGGTAAGAGGTATATGGAAGAAAAATAAGCCTTCAAAGCACTAGTTATAACTATTAACTATAAAATCAGCACCTTTAAAATTCCTTGCGATTTTGCCTTGTGACCAAACTTTTGCTCTTGTTTTAAAGGTAATTAAAATGTATTGGATTTGGAGAATGCTGTGAAAATCACTAAGCTATGATGGAGCCGTGCCAGGGGTGGCAGTGGGGGACTGCTAGACTACTTACCAAATTACTCCTTTCCATGGCCTTACCTAAACCCCATAGGAGTCTGCTCGCTCCTAAAGCTGGGATGTAAATGGACCGTTGTGTCCGGGCTCTTGTCTTCTTACAGTCTTGGCTCTTTCTGGCCACATCACCAAACCCCTCTGCTGAGGTACTTTCTAAAAGAAGGGTTCATGTAGACAGAGAGCTCTCTAGTGGACGGGACTGTGGAGAATGAAAATATGGCGGACGAGAAGGGGAGGCAGGATGGCGGAAGACAGCCAGTCAAGCAAAGTCAAGAATGATGCTGGGAATAAAAGTCCTTTATTGCAGATAAAAGAGAATTACAGAAATATGCCAAAGGAGTCCTCAGCAGAAAAACAAAGGATGAACCCCAGGGTCTTGTTACTGGAGAGACTGTGTCCTATAAAGGTGGGGCTGCAAACACTCTGGAGAATACAGACCTAAAGCTCCTAGGAGAAATGCAGGGTTGGGTTCCTGCAAGCCTCTGATCACCTCTAGGACGCCCCATCAACACACAGTCTTGCTTCACGCGTGTTTCTTTTTAAAGACACCTTATTTAATTTATATTGATCCATTAACACTGAACAAGGCTGACAGCATGGTAACCCGTGCCTCAACAAAGCTAATCTAACACTCATATTTTCTCCTTAAGGCACATCACAGCCTTCTCGTGCTTAGGAACACCAGACAGCCCTTCAGTGCTATGCTTGGGCCATTTTAAACGCCGGGATCACCAACAGAGCACACAGAGGCAAACAACATGACACTAGACAATATGATGGCACACATGACAATAGATGGCAAAACAAACAAACAAACAAACACACACACACTTGTTCTTGGTAGGAGAGCGGAAACAACAAGGCAGAGCATCACCTTATACAACCCCACCTGGGAAAGGACTCCACGGAGGCTCAAATGTTTGCCTTCCCACCCAGGAATGACTGTGAAAATACCATATTGATTCGGGGGGCTTACAAATGAGTTTTTGCAAATAGGCAATTTAGAAATACAGAATCTTTGAATAATGGGATCTGACACGTAATAGAGTCAGACATCTAACAAAAGAAGAGCAGGGGTGTCTGGGGGGCTCAGTCGGTTAAGTGTCTGCCTTCAGCTCAGGTCATGATCTCGGGGTCCTGGGATGGAGCCCCAAGTTGGGCTCCCTGTTCTGGGGGGAGCCTGCTTCTCCCTCTCCCTCTGCCTCCTCCCCTTGCTCCTGTGCGCTCTCTCTCAAATAAATAAAATCTTTAAAACAAAACAAAACAAAACAAAAAAAACAGCAGTATCTAATCCTCCATAAAGAGGTACCTACATTTTGGGATTCCTTTGGACAAAGAACGTTACATTCAAGTCATTTAGCTCAATAGGAGCTTTATGGAAACAATGGTCTCCCACTTACTGGGAATGGAGAGGTCCAGTCCATTTTGCATATTCCTTACTTCTGGCATTGTCCGCTCAACAATGCATCCTTGTCTTTTCCAGTCACAATGGAATCATCTCAGGCAAATCTTCATCTGATTTCCTTCCCCAGAGGAGGCACAGCTCAGCTTGTTCTGAGGGGAAGGGGTACCAATAGAACACAAAGACGCCAATTTGGCAACACCAGACGCCACCATCAATAACCCAGAGGTCCCCAGCACTGTGGAGACACGGTCTGGTTTCAGGCATCTTTTGCTAATTGCCCCGCTGGGCTTGGGGGATCTGGGAAGGCGCAAGGTTATTTAGGAACTGCTGCTGTCACTATACTTAGGGGTTGACTTTTGGGGATCGTGGTACGCCCCTCCAAAAACAAGACTTAGCCACTATCCAGGGAATTCTTGGCCACCACACCGTGTCTTCCTCCTGTGGAATCACAGAGTGCCTTGGGCCTGTATTTGGTTTTAACTCCATGTGCCTTAACACTGTGTTTCCAGAGTAAAAAGTATGTTGGCAATTCGAGCCCAGCAAATGCTTGCACTGGCCTCCAGGGTCCCTTTGCTGTTTTCTCATGATCAGGTACGGCACCTGTTCTGTTTAGAGTAACAGCCCCATGGAACCCACTGGCAGGCCATGGAAACAACAGCTAGACTAAAAGAAGTGTGCAAAGAATAAGCCTCAGAGAAAGAATTTTAACCCTTCCCCGTCTCCCTGCCAGGTTCCCAAATCACTGATTGAACAACCCATCAGTAAACCAGGCAGTGGGACTTGATCTAGGGCCTTGTAGGCTTGGAAGGCTCTTTAATCCCACTGGTTCACTGGCCACATTTTCCATTTGAAGACTGATGCCCAAGCCTGAGGAAGAAACGAGCAAGATCCTGTGACTGGAGGGTAGCAACGCAGGGCCACTGAGCAGGTCTCTGACCCAGAGTTCTACGTTCGTCACACTACATTCTTTTCTAGGTGACCAAGGATCCCACAAATTGCTCTGTGAACTTCCCACCACCGACATCACCCTGGCCTGCTCCCAGGGACAGAAGACAGGGCACTCCAGGTCAACCTCAGGTGCATCACCTCTCTCCCCTGAGCCCTCCCAACGAGAAGTGGCCACAGCCCATACTACAAAAAGGAGCGTGAGTTCTACTTTCAAGATGCTCCCATACGCAGCATTTGCGAGCACACCCAGTTCACCAAGGGTCACTGGGCACGCACACTGTCTGGGCAGCCCACTGTCCGTCAGCTGGCGGGCATCTGGAAACCGCATCTCAACCACCCCCCGATCCCGTCCTCCACGGTGAATTTGTATCATCATTTCTTTCTGACAAATACGCAGGCAGGGTAGAGAATTGGTCAATCAGGATGCCAGGTGCTCCAAAAACCCACCGCGTGGTTTTGCCGCCTCTCATCGCCTGCCACCCATGCTCCCAATACACGTGCCCATGCCTGTTTAAACACTCTCTCTGCTGGAAAACTCCCCCCCACCCTGTTCCAAGTACTAATGAACCCAGTTCTGTTTCCACAACACTTAGTTTGGATCCTAATTATTATTTTTATCATAGCCTGTTTTCAGATAGCGGAGTATTTCCACCTCCCCTATCTATGAGGGCCCCAAGGTCAGGGTCACTACCCATTCATCTTTGCATCCTGCCCCAGGGCATCACTTGCCATGTGTGCACTTTATAAACATACCCCTGGAGTATGGAGGGAAAAAAAAAAACTCTGTGGGAAATTACAGGGCAGAGGAAAATACGTGCAGAAAGGAGGCCTGGTCTCCAGGGTACAAGAACATTTTTATTCTGTCATTCTCATGACATCTCTTTGAAGACCTGAGATTAAAAACACTCCCAAGAAGTCCCAGATCCGCGCTCTCCCCTCCTTCCATGATAAAGCCCGGGTCCTTGGTCCAGGTGCACGGCAGGAAGGGCCCAGGCAGGACCTTCCTCGGAAGCAGCTCCCGGGAGAACGGCCTACAAGGCACCCACCCGAGAAAGGATGCTGAGCCCAAAGTGGGCTTTCAAATCGCCAATCCAGCTCCTCCCTTTGCAGCCTTGGACGAGCCACTTATCTTCTCTAAGCCGCGGGTGCCCCATCTGCAGAATGGGTATAATACAGAGTGGTAAGGAAAGTAAAGGAATACTGTTCATATCGAGCTCTTGCTGAAGGATCCGCCAGGGGTGTTGGGGTAGACAATGACCTTCCTGGACTCGACCAGAAGGAGGGGAGCCCGGCTCATGCTTTCACTCCTTCCCCGATCAAGAGTTTCACCTCCATCGACACACATGTGGTCTTTCAGCAAAGAACCTTAGAGGCTCACCTGGGCCTCCTAGGCCTTTCCTTATTGACATTCCCTGGTACGGGATGTAGGCATCTCCCCTTCAGACGCCTGCTGAATGCTTCCATGACTTCGCGTCTCCAGGAAGCAGCCTCCGAGACACACCTGAGACTGGCTTCTTGGGTCCATGACTTCCATCGCACTCTCCACCTCCCTGCTGAGCCCACCCCATGCGAGCTACAAAGCACTTCCAGAAGCTCGCTCCTTCCACAGTGAGCCACAAGTAGTCAAGGTAACAAATCTGAGGAAGAAGTGTCTTTTCGAGGAAAGGAGCCCAAAGGGAATGCTCTGGAATCCTTGCTTCACCCGTGGCACCTGGCCTCCTGGGCTTCTACGGCTCAGTGCACTTGGGCAGACTCGGACTCCCCGGCTTTAGCCCTGGGGAGTCTTGTCTCCCAGTTCTGCCAGGATTCTTCGTCAGCGCCCCATCCCTCTCTCCAGCTCCGGCTCTCAGGGCCCCTGCGTGCGCAGGGCGGGCTCACCCTCCAGGCTTCAGCTCACCCGCACTTCCTCTGCAGGACTCCCCTCCCCGGGCACCACACACACTTTCCTGCCTTCTCCCCTACTAGCCCATGAGACAGGGGCTGCCCTCGTGGCCCACTCTGCTTCCAACACCTCGCCCCAAGACGCCCGCTGCAGGCGCAGACCAGCAGAACGGGGCCGCAGGCCACCGGCAGCCCGGCCGGGAGGAGCCGACACTCTGGCCTCTGACAGCAAACACGCAGCCTGGAAAAGACCTCCACACCTGCCCTGCTCCAAGACCAGGTGTTGTGCGAGGGGGAGTAGGTGGGGTGGGGGTGGGGGGGATGCGACTAAGTGGCTGAGGCTCCAGCTGTGAATCAGCAGCTCAGAGGGAGGGACTGTGGCTTCGCTTTGGAGCTTCCAAGGCAGGCAAGTGGCACACTGCAAGACTGCCCTACTTAGCCAGCCTCCTTCCTAGCTCTCTCTAAACTGTGCCACAGGATGCTGAACACTAGCATGACCTGGAATGCTCAAGAACGTCCGTCGACTTCCCAGGGACTAGCAAGTGCAGGAAGAGAACGTGCCAGCACCACACTCGGGCCATGAGGACAACTGCTACTAGCTGAGAGGTAAGAACTCGCCCCGGACACCCAGGGGCCTTGTGTAACCTGAGAGGACAAGGACAAGCTCACCGTTACTGTAGGGAAACGACCAGGTGGCGTCAGGGTCCCTACTTCAGGATCCCAGCTGTCATTTGGCAGTTGCGGGGTCAAGGCCAAATCACTCTGTTTCCTCATCTGAACACCAGGGATGACACAGTGCTTCCTCACAAGGTTCCTGAAAGGGCTAGAGAAGGTCCTGGAAAGATGTGTGTGGCACAGGATATGGCACGCAGACAGCACACACACAGCCTTAAGGAGATGGGCAACGTACCTCAGGTAGTGCCTGAGTCCAAGTGCACTCGACCCGGCCAGGACAAGTTCACACTCTCCCAGGCCCTGGCCGCAAGCCCGCGCTTTCAGGAAATTCCTAATGAAGCCGGAAATAGCCTATTTTCCCAGATAACCTCCACTTCATCCCTTTTATTTCCAGCCTACAGTTTTTAATGACCCTCTTTACCGAACGACTGCTCTTCAAAGAGAGTTTATTTTATAGTATTTTGCCTCTGGAGGAAGTGGAACCCCCGTGCTCTCTGGGCTCTTAAGAAAAAGAATGCAATCGGGCCATCTGCACCAACATGGATGGCCCCTGGGGTGTGGGGCAAAGTGAAGCAGCTCAGACAGAGAAAGACAATTACCCTGCGATCTCCCATCTCTGTGTAATCTAGAAAGCAAAACAAAACAGAAACAGACTCATAAACACAGAGACCAAACCAGCGGTTGTCAGATAGGAGGAGGAGGATGGGCGTGGCACGGGCAGTGAAGGGAGTGGAGCAGTACAACCCCGGGTCTGCAGTCAGTCAGTCACGGGGATGTCACGGTGCTGCAGAGGGAAGAGAGTCACTCACTAACTCTGCGAGAACTGTGGATGGTGACAGCGGGTAACTAGACCTATCAGAGTGATCATTCTGTACATTTGTAATGTACAAAAATATCAGAACGCTATGTTGTATACCGGAAACTAATGTAACATTACAGGTCGGTTTTATGTCAATTAAAAACAAACAAAAAAGGAAATAGGTGAAATCTTAAAACAAACAAACAAACAAACAAAAAAGAATCCAGGAGCGTGACAAGGCAGAGATGGGCAGCTCGACAAAGGGAGGAAGCCCAGGGTTAAGTCAGGAGCCGGGCTCCTCCCAGTGCTCGGGGCCCCTATCTTGCACATCTGTGTCTCAGTCTTGTCATGGTTTAAAAGAGGCAGAGACCAAACCAAATCTCTGGGCCCCTCGCTGCTCTAACACGATCTAACTGTATGAATTACCATAACTGGAGGTTCTGCTTAGCGGTCGGCAGCTGCCCCGACGACGTGTGTAGCAGCTCTGTCACTGGGCTGCCGACGGACGCCCCGGGCGCAGCACCTCTTCTGGAAGGCGGAAAGGCTGGTCAACTTCTTCCATTTCACCAGCTCGGAGGAGCCTGAAGAGGGGATGCCAGTGACCGTGCCAGGAGAAAGCCTCCTCCTTACACGCCTCAGAAGCCATCTGGCTGCCAGAGAGGCTGGGTCCTCAGCCTGGGGCAGAGCTCACAGGTGGACGTCTTTTAAAGGAGAATTTTTTTTAAGGCCGGTAGCACTTAGAGATTCTAAGACTGCTGTGTAAATCAAGGCTCACAGAACAGATTATCTGGAACGGACCAGGAATGAAATTTCAGTCAGTTTCTGGATCGGTTCTCTGGCAGGCCGAGGGAAAAGCTCACCAGCCACAGTGTCTTCTATTAACTCTCCAAGCTCTCCAAACCCGCCTCAGGGTGATGCAGTCCCCTGAAAAGTCAGGATGCAGGCGGATGCCGGCTTCCCTTCCCTCCCCTTCCCTGGGGAGCAGAGCACACCCTGTCTCTGGCTTAGGTATTACACCAAGGTTACCACAAAATATGGAACACCCAGGTCCATTTGAATTTCAAATAAACACATCGTTTTCTGCTCTATGTTCCACGCAATATTTGGAGCATACTTATGGGGAAAAAATGCCTCGTTGTTTATCTGAAATTCCAATTTAACTGGGCGCCCTGCATTTCTATTTGCTAAATATGGTAACCTTAATTACACTCATTTCAAGCAAAGACTAGTTGGTTCTTAGTCTCCAAAGTATAACAACGTCCCCAAACCAACCTTTCCCCCTTCCAAAACAACAACAAAAAAAACCCCCTCAAAACAAAACTTGTCTTTTTACTTCCAGGACATGTTTTTAAAAAGTAGGTCCGTAAGTATCTAATAAAAAACCAAAAAAAGGAGACGTACCTTCTTGTAAGTTTCCCTATTTAAGAGCTCAGACTGCCTCTGGCCACAGGCTCTGGCACCAGCGGACTCGAAAGGAACTGGCTTCCAACCCGTCAGGGCAGGGACGGGGCGGGGTGGGGGGTGCGGGAAGGAAGAGAAGAAATCAAAGGTGGCTACTTTCTCAAAGAGGCCCACTGGGGCAGAGGGACAGGGGAGGAGGCAGGTGCTGGGGTAGGAGAATGAGAGGAAGTGGCTCCAGCGCTCCGGCCACGGAACATCCGTGTCCCTCTACACGGACCACCACCCACCCGATGACAAGTTAACTGTGAGATGCAAGAGAAAGTTACTGCTCTTACAAAAGGCCCCACAGTTGGGAGATAGACATGTCCCTTTCCCCCACCCCCGTCACCCCCAACTTCTCCCCGGTCTCTGCACCTGGGCTGGGCGCCCATGGTTAGCTTGTGGGGTGGACACGAGCTGCAGGACCACGGGCAGTTTGCTGCTGGGGTAGGTGAAGACACAAAGCACCTCCCTGAGGTTTTTTTGAAATTATGTTTACTATTCTGGTCAAAAGTTACTCATATAATGCAGTGGTCTTAAATTTTTATTCTGTATGGTTATACGGTCTAAGTGGACTAGCTTGCAATCCGAGGCCGTTTTTATAAGCTTTGCTCTGCAAAATGGTGTCAGCATTGTTAGAGGGCAAAGCCCTCCTCGATAAAGAAATTACATTAATGAAAGTAAATCAAGAATGGTGTCCTGCACCTCAGATGGCAAAGTGGCTCTAAGCAAGCCATTCCCCCAACTTCACACAGCAAGGGCGTTCGAGAGCTAGAAATTCCTTAGAAAAATCAAGTGGCACCCATAACAGATAAGCATCAAGTTTGTAAATTTTTAATCCATGACACTTAAAAGTGAGAGAATTAAATACAAAGCTAAAATGTGGTAAATCTTCTCACTTCCTCTTCTTTGTGGAATACAGTTTTTCTTCGAGTGGGACAGGGACAATCCCCTCACACTCTTTCACTTCCTGGGTCAGAGGGTGTTTTACAACATTCGGTCTAATCACATCAATGTCTCGGGACAAATGTTCCATTATGCTCTGGACAGCTGTGGCTGGTGCATAAAAGTCCACCAAGAAATACCTGCAACAAAGCAGAGGTCTGTGAGTTCCTGCGCGCTGCAGTGCAACACTCCCACTGCTGGGTCAACGCTTGTACTCTACTGCTCGCCAGATAAAATCAGCTCCGTGAAAACACATGCATGCCCCTGTCAAAACAGAAACGACCAGCTGACCAGCTGACCAGAAGTGTTTGCCCAGCTTCCCTCTTCCCTATGGCCGGTCCCCTTCCAATCTTGGGAGAATCTGAATCCGAACGAACTCCGTGGTAGCTGGAAGCCTGTGACATTAGAGTGCAGAGAACCGAAGGTATAGTAAGGTTATGTGTCTAAGGAAGAAGAGTGTTCTAGCCAACGAGGCTGAATTTCTCAAACCATTTTTGAGAAAACATTAGGTTAGTCTTCTCATTTCCTAAAGGATTTTGCAAGTAACTTAATGCACCTGAGAGGCACAGGACCTACCAACAGCCACATTTCACAAACAAGGGAAAAGGTTCTGAAAGGCCTGGGATCTGTTTAAGACTGTCCTGCACATTCGAGAGCTGACAACAGAAGCACATCACGGGAATCCTGGGTAAGGCAAAGAACCGAGCATTCCTCCACTCGCAGCAGACTGATCTAGAAGGCCGTCTCATCCAGCCCACTGTTCTCACCACATGGACAACTTCATCAGCTCGGCTGGACGGTGTTACAAAGGAAGAAACAGCCCTCCTCCCTGCCCACGCCCGCCTCTCAATTCTAAAGTCGAAGCCTCCCTTGCACTGTTCGGTTTGAACCACAGGGCTGCGAAAGGGCAGTTTTCGGTGCTCTAGTTCAGAATTCTGCAATGTTCCAGCTGGCTGCGGTGACCTCTGACATCGCGTACTTTGTTCTAGCCGCACTCTCCTCCCCAAGCATGTTCCCTTCCTAGGTCTTTGCACTCACTGTTCCTTCTGCCGGAAATGTTCTTCGCCCGAGTTCCACAGAGCTCAGGCCTCACTTCCATCACATCTGTGTCCCAACGGCACTTTGTCAGAGAGGTCCTCTCTGATCACATCTCCTGAAGCAGCCCCCCTTGCCTGCCCAACGGCCACCTTACTCCCTCCGCCCTACTCGGTGCCTCACTGCGTCCCACGGCGCTCAGCACCACGCTGCAGGACACAGCTGTTTACGGTCTCTCATCCCACTAAAACGTATCTGCCCTAGGACGGACTCTGCTGCTCCGTCCCAGCACCCTGAACAGAGGCTAACACACACCAGGTCCCCAGTAAACCCCTAAAGGGGTAGTGTTAGCACGGAAGGTGGGATTCTCACAGAAAGCAGAAGAGACCAAAGTGAAAATGGACAGATTTGACAAGGGAGTTAGGAGAAAAGGGATGACATTTTGTATAATTCCGTAACAAAGAGAGTTCAAAACATATAAAACCACTTCCCAGGTGAACATTCACCCTTAGCTGAGCCTAGTGGGAAAGTTATTCAAGTAAACAATTATTACAACGGAAAGGACAGAAAACCATACACCGTGCAAAAACACTAATCTAAAGAAAGCTCGAGTGGCTACAGTAATACCAATGCAGATTGCAGATCAAAGAAAATTACCAGGGATAAAAACAGGTAATATATAATGATTAGCTCACCAAGAAGACACAACAGCCCTAAACGTGCAAGTACCGGACAACAGAGCTTCATCATACAGGAAGTAAAAACGAACAGAACTGAAAAGTGAAATAAACAAGTCCATAATTATGGTTGGAGACTTAATATTTCTCAGTAATCAATAAAAGCAGTACACCAAAAATCAGCCAGGATATCGGAAGAGCGGGCAGCACCATCAACCAGCCGGATCTGACATTTATAAAACCCCCCAAACAAGGAGAGCAGGAGGCGCACTGTTCACCGTGGCCAACAGAACAGTTACCAAAGTCAACCACATTCTGGGCCACAAAATGAGTCTCAATAAATCAAAAGGGATTCGGATCTCACAGAAGACACTTGGGAAAATCCCCAAATACTTGGAAACTACACATAAATCTAAATAGCCTACGGGTCAAAGAAAAAAATCAAGAGGGAATGTCAACTGAATGAAAACGAAAACAACAAATCAAAGTTTGGGGAATGCCACTAAAGCAGGAAATTTATAGCACTAAACACCTATGTAAGAAAGGAAAAGCCTCAAAACTTCCACCTTAAGAAACTACAAGAAAGAACAGAGCCCCTGGGGGCTCAGTCGTCAAGCCTCTGCCTTCAGCTGAGGTCATGATCCCAAGGTCCTGGGATCTGAGCCCAGAGCCCTGCATCAGGCTCCCTGCTCAGTGGGAAGCCTGATTCTCCCTCTCCCACTCCCCCCACCCATGTTCCCTTTCTTGCTGTCTCTGTCACATAAATAAATAAAATCTTAAAAAAAAAAAAAAAGAACAAATTACAAACACAAATAAGACCAAGGGGGGAAAAAAAGAGAGAAAAGAAAAGGAAAAAAAAAAGAAGAATAAAGATCAGAGCAGAAATCTCTGAAGCAGAAAACAAAAATAGAGACCATCAATGAAACCAAACACTAGTTCACTAAAACCAGTAAAATTGATCCACCTCTAGTCAGACCGATCAGTAGAAAAGGGTAAGAGACAAATTACTAATATTCAGGAAAGACAGAGGTGAAATGGATACAAATTTTACAGATAATAAAAGAATGGAAAAGACTATTATAAACAAATTTTGCAGTAAATTTGACAACTTAAATTCCTTGAAAAATATAAACTACCAAAACTTCTTCCAAAAAGTAGGTAACATGAATAGCCCTGTATCTATTAAAGAAATCAAATGTGTAGTTAAAAACCTTTCCACAGGGGCGCCTGGGTGGCTCAGTGGGTTAAGTCTCTGCCTTTGGCTCAGGTCATGATCCCAGGGTCCTGGGATGGAGCCCCTCATCATCAGGCTCTCTGCTCAGCAGGGAGCCTGCTTCCCCCTCTCTCTTTGCCTGCTGCTCTGACTACTTGTGCTCTCTCTTTGTCAAATAAATAAATAAAATCTTTAAAAGAAAAAACAACAAAACAACAACAACAACAACAAAACTTTCCACAAAGAAAACCAAAGCCCTAAATGGCTTCACCAGTGAATTCTGCCAAACGTTTGAGGAAAAACACACCGATTTTGATACAAACTGGTCCAGAAAATAGGACAACACTTCCCCATTTGTTCTATGAGGCCAGCATTACCCTGATGCCAAAATCAGACAAAGACATTACAAGAAAAGAAAAAATCTGATCAATATCTCTCACAAACATAAATGAAAAAAAATTTTTAGCAAACAGACTACTGAAATATATACAAAGAATAATACATCATGGTCAAGCAGAGTTTATCATAGAAAGCAAGACTGGTTTAACACCTGAAATTAATCAATGTAAATCACCACATTAACAAACTAAAAAAGAAAAACATTAATATGGGTATTAAGGAGGGCACATATTATGATGAGCACTGGGTGTTATACACAACTAATGAATCATTGAACATTACATCAGAAACTAATGACGTACTATATGCTGGCTAACAGAACATAATAAAAAGAAAAGAAAAACTGTATCATGTGATCATTTCAATAGAAGAAAAAAAAAAGCTTTAACAAATTCCATATCCAATTCCTGATAAACTCTCAGCAAAGTAGGGATACAGGGGAACTTCTTCAACCTTTCGTTACAAAGGATATCTTTGTAAAACATGTAACTAACATCATACCAACTGGTCAAAGTCCTAATGTTTTTCCAAGACTGAGAATAAACAAGGGTGTCTACTCTCACCATTTCTAGTCCACATTTTACTGGAGGTTTTTGCCAGTGCAATAAGGCAGTAAAAAGTAAAGGCATCCAGATTGATAAGGAAGTAGCTAAAATTATCTGTATTTACAGATGAAATGATTGTGTGTATAGAAGAATCTAAGAAATTTACAAAAAAGATCCTAGAAATAATATGTGAGTTTAGCAAGGTTGCAGTCTACACAAATCAACTGTATTTCCTATATACTAGCAACAAATAATCACACTTTGAAATTAAATATGAAATACTTAAGGATAAATCTGACAAAAGATGTGCAAGACCTGTACACTAAAAACCATAAAACATTACTAAAAGAAATTAAAGAAAAATGACATAAATGAAGATACATCTTGTTCATGGGTAGGAAGATTCAAATTTATTTAGATGCCAGTTCTCCAAAACTGATCTATAAATTCCCAGGGATCCCAATCAAAATCCTAAGACATTTTTGTTAGAAATTGATGAACTGATTCTAAGCTACACAGGGAAATTCAAAGGACCCACAACAACCAAAACAACTTTGATATCAAGAATAAAGTTGAGGGGCGCCTGGGTGGCTCAGTGGGTTGAGCCGCTGCCTTCGGCTCAGGTCATGATCTCAGGGTCCTGGGATCGAGTCCCGCATCAGGCTCTCTGCTCAGCAGGGAGCCTGCTTCCCTCTCTCTCTCTCTCTCTGCCTGCCTCTCTGTCTACTTGTGATCTCTCTCTGTCAAATCAATAAATAAAATCTTTAAAAAAAAAAAAAGAATAAAGTTGAAGGATTAACACTACCTGATTTTAAGACTTTATAAGGAAAGTTATGGTAATCAAGGCAGTATGGTATTTGTATAAAGACACACAAACAGCTCAACAGAACAGAGTCCAGAAATAGATCCATACATATATGCACAAAATACAGACATGCACAATTGATTTTTGACAAAGGCGTAAAGGCAACTCAAAGAGAAAGAGGACAGTCTTTTCAACAAATGGTGCTGAACAATTCCATATCTGTGTGCAAAAAAAATGAACTTTGATCCATACTTGTATCATATACAAAAATTGACTCAAACTTTAATACAGATCTAAATATAAAGTATAAAGCTGTAAAACTAGAAAAAAAACACAGGAGAAAACTTTTATGACCTTCAGCTAAGCAAAGAAACTTTAGACAGCACTAAGAGCAAAATCCATAAACAAAAATTCAATAAACTAGACTTCATCAAAACTAAACACTGTTCTCTGATACTATTAAGAT